AAACAAATTAATTCACCCACATACACACACACAAAAAAAAAACCGGGGGGTGGGGGGGGGAAGAAGATATAACAACTATACCTTTTTGAAGTTGTTACAACAAGCAAACGGAAAGGACATTCTTGGGGGGGGGGGAGGTGTCGGTGATGGGCCATAATAATCATATACATTGTATATTGACAAAATAAAAATTTAATGGAAAATAAATAAATAAATAAATGGGCCTCCTTCTGAGCAGTTGTGAATAGAGCAGCTATGAGCACAATATAGAACACACCAAGCAAAACAGAAATAGATGTGTTAAGATACTGGCTTGGGCCAAGCCCATGGCGCACTCGGAAGAGTGCGGCGCTGGGAGCGCAGCAACGCTCCCGCCGTGGGTTCGGATCCTATATGGGAATGGCCGGTGCGCTCACTGGCTGAGCGTGGTGCGGGCGACACCAAGCCAAGGGTTGCGATACCCTTACCGGTCATGAAAAAAGACAAAAAAAAAAAAAAAACATACTGGCTTGATCAATAAGTACAAGTTTTAAATAGAGAAGGGGAAAAAAAGTGGTTTTTTGGTGCCTTTTTTTTGTTTTGTTTATGCAGAAATACTGAATTTTAGAGCTGGAAGAGGGTATATAAGGGAGATCTACCTCCCACACTTGAATATTTTACAGATGAAGATACTGAAATTATTTCCTTGATCAAGGTGTTGTAACACATTGAGATCTAACATCTATTTAGTGTAATTCCAGCCCCTATGAAGGCTCCACATGGAAAGCTCTCCTAACAAAAGGGTCCACACCAAAATGGTCTCCTAACAAAATGGTCCAATGCTGCCTGGGCTATTATCATAGGGCTTTGTAGTTAGAGAAGGCGGTTGATTCAACTTGTGCCAACCACGTGACCTCCAAGTGCTAAAGAAGGACCTCAGAGATAATCTAGTCCAACTTCCTTATTTTACAGAAGAGAAAAAAGATGACTCAGAAAAACAAAGCAACTAGGCCAGAGTTCCACATTAGCTGAAAACAGGTTTTTCAACAGTGCTACTACTGATATATTTTTCTACTAAATACTTCTTTATTGTGTGGGCCATCCTGTGCACTGCAGAATGTTTAGCAGCATCCCTGGTCACTGGCAGTCTCCTCACCCAATCACGACAATAAAAAATGTCTCTAGACACTGCCAGATGTCCTTGGAAAGGGGACAGAGAAGACAAAATGCCCTAGTTGAGAACCACTGGGTTAGAAAGTGGCACAACAGGCAACCAAATCCATCTGACTCCCAGCCTGGTACTCTTTTCATTAATCTCATGAATATTTGTTATGTTCAAATAAATATTCTGGAAATAGGGAGAACTGATTAATGCATTAAGCCATGACTAATACTGATTACATGCCAAATAACTTTATCAACAAGTTCTTAAAAATGAGTCTTACGGATATGAAGTAACGGCATGTACTCATCTGTGTGCGCCCAACATAAATGTAAACATGCATGTATATTAACATGAAGCTAAAACCATGGGATCTATGAAGTGATGAGTCTCTCATTTGGGGCTGGGTAAAATATAGAAATGTCATGTTAAAATACTTCAGGGAGAAATCTCCCTAGAAATAGTAAACTTTTCTACCAGCCTTAGACAAATTCACTACACACTGTAACCTAAATATAGAAGCATCTTTAAAAAAAAAAAAAAAAAAAGAAAGAAAGATAAGAACCTCACTGTCAAGTTATTTAATCATTTTACTGTAAAAATAAGAAAACTCAGTTCAAAGATCTGAGGTTTCCTATAAACTAGTGCTTCAAAACAGTGCCAAGTTTTTCCTTAAACACAGATGAGAAAACCAGGAGTTCCAGTTAATTACAAGATTTAGATATTACCTGTTTCTCTTTTTCCGGTGTTCTCTATTAGAATTCTCCGATTCACTGCCACTGCTTGTGTTGCAGCGTGAGCGTGACCTGAAGACAAAAGGAGAAGAGCAAAAAAAAAAAAAAACCGTGTTTATGACATATGAAAAATTTCAGAAAGGTTCGTGTTGGTTCTTTGGAATTAATTTTGCAGTAAAATTGCTAATACAAACTTAAACAACTGTATGATCCCTTTCCCAGTCAGTGTTTCTGAACTCAGTCAGACATCTGAATGAGTCTACAGCTCAGAGATGCAGGGGAACTAGGAAAGCAGATTAAGGTAAATGTCATCATGTTCCCAGAAAGGACCACAAAAATCAATCACTTCCAACAAAACTCTAACGTGGCAAGACTATAAGCCCCTGTGGTGAACTAAATATGGATGCAAAGTCTTGTCACACCCCCAACCCGTACTGAAAGCTGTAGTTTATTTCCCCTGCCCTTCAACTTGCACTGGTCCTGTGACTGATTTTACCCAAAGAATGAGGTGGAAAGGATACACTGCCATTTCCAGGACTAACTCTTAACACAACTGGTAGCTTTTGCTTCCTCCCAGACATCAGCTAAAGAAGTATAGACTAGCTATGTAGACAGACCATGCAGAGAGGCTGCAGGCCTCCAGCCATTCTGCCAAGACACCAACATGAGACAGAAAGGCCTCCTCCTGGATAATACAGATTCAGCCACCACCTGACCACAGCCTCCTTTAGCAAGACTAACTAAAAAACTGCCTGTTCAATCTACAGAGTTATACAAAATATACATAGGTGCTGTTGCTTTCAGCCACCAAGTTTTGGAGTGGTTTATAATATGGCACTGAACAACTGAGACAGCTCCTCGGAGACACAAAGGAGCAGAAAAAAGAGAAATGTCTAAGGATACAACAGAATGGAAGACTGAGAACCAGTTGAAGCCAAAACTGGTTTCTGATTCAAAAAAAGATTTACAATACTCTTAATGCATCCACTAACAAAGCAAAAAAAAAAAAAATTCCCCACTCTTCCCTCAACTCTGAGTACTGTCAATCTGCTAAACCCTCTCCCCTCTCTCTAACTCTCTTTCCTTTTTTTTTATTACCTCCTTCTTTGCTTTAGATCTGAGTCTTCACCACTGTTATGGGCTTTCCTATGGAAAACAAATAAATGAAGACATTAAAGAAAACATAATTATCAATAGGCTAAGGACAGCACACCAAAATGAGTTTCACTTCAGTTAATGCATATTGCTTAGGTATTTGTTCATTCATCAAACACTGAAGCCACAGTACCTCTGCCAGCATGTGATTTTGCTTTCTCCTTCCAAAGGAAAAAGCAGCCATTGGATGGAACTCTTTCATTTTCCCGCTACCAAAAATAAAAGCTTAGCCACATCTCCCTCTCTGTTATTTATGGACCTGTCCTTACAACTAAGGTCAGTCCCCCGCCTGTGTTATGTGGGTCCCACCACCTCATGTCTTCTCAATGACTTTCATTAACTGCCCTCCCACCACTTACATATAATCAACTTGCCCTTCTGACAAACTCTTTTTTACCAGCTTTCAACATTCTCAAGTCACTCTATTTAAACAAACAACACCTACTTTGACTCCACATCTCTTCCATCTTCTGCTTCCTCATTCAAATCCAAACTTCTTGAGAGAGTGTCCATGCCCCACACTCCACTTCCTTACCTTCTATTTTCTAGTGCCCTTCCACTCTGATCAGGTGGACATGGCTTTTCAATGCCACCACCATGACGTACATTCACCTCTTTCTCCCAATATACTTATATTAAATAATATCACATTGATATGTGGTCCCTATCCTATCAAATTTTGTAACTAGTATAAATACAGTTATATAAACATTGTTCACAGATGATCTAAGTAGTGTTCTAGGTATACAATTCCATCCTTGCGTAGGTTTTAAATTTTCTAAAAGAGGACAATTGCTAGTTTTCTACAAACATATCACTTGCTTAGTTTTTCTTTGTTTATCCCAATTCTTCATCCAAACTCTGAGAGAATTGCAAAATTCCTCCTGATGTGGATGGATACTCTAGTAATCCACAAGTCTCATCTGCATCCCTCCTGGGGGCCTTGGCCCACCTGCTCTTATCTGGACTGCCTGCTCTCTAGTGCTGCTGCAAAGATGTCATTTTGATTAACTCTCTTCGCCATGATTCAGGGAATTCCTTATGCTTCTTTGTATGATGGATCCCACATTTCCAGGTTTTATGGCTTCTTGTCTTGAAGGAGCAAATCTAGTTGCTAACAGACAAAATCTGCATTTCAGGTACATTTTTTTGAGATCTGGAACTTCTAAAAATGTCTTTATTCTACATGTACAATTATAGTTTACTTGAGCACAGAATCCTACATTGACAATAACCTTTCAGAATTTTGAAGGCAATGGGCCGGCCCGGTGGCGCACTGGATAGTGCGCCGCTTGGGAAGCGCGGCGGCGCTCCCGCCTGAGGGTTCGGATCCCATATACAGACCGGTTCCCGCCTGAGCGAGGCGCGGGAGCAACACCGAGGCTTGCGATCCCGTTGCCGGTCCCCGGTCCGGTACGGGGGCAACACTGAGGGTTGCGATCCGTTGCCAGGCACGAAAAAAGACAAAAGACAAAAAAAAAAAAAAAGAATTTTGAAGGCAATGTTTCCTTGCCCTATTTCTCTGATACTGCTGTTAAGCAGCCCAGTGTCATTCTGATTTGTCACCAATTGTGCATGGTTATTTTTTCTTCTCTCCCATATCCTCCTCCCCAGTCCAACTCTTTAAAATTTTCTCTTAATCTATAGTGTTTTAAAATTTAATGATAATGGACCTTGGTTATTATGGATTGAATTCTGTCCTCCCAGAAGCTCCATGTGTTGGAGGCTTGGTCCCACTATGACAGTGTTAAGAGGGTGGGAAATCCTCTTGTGGTTTTTAAAAGGTGGTGCCTTGGAAAGGAGATTGGATTGTGAGGACTGCACCCTCATGAATGGATTGACCCATTCTTGGAATAATGGGGGTGCTTCTGGTGGCTTTAAAGAGAGAGTGAATGAGGAGGTTACTCTCACTCTCTGCTTCCACCATCTTACAATGTGATACCCTGCATCACTGAAACCAGCACCAAGGAAGACCTTCACCAGATGGACTCCCTGGACTTGTGTTCTGAGACTTCGCAGCCTCAGAAACTGTAAGCAATAATTTTCATTTTCTTACAAATTATCAAGTTTTAGGTATTTTGTTATAAGCAACAGAAATGGACTAATACACTTGTTATAAATTTAATTTTTGAGTTTATTATGCCAAATGCTCAGTGGGTTTTTCTCTATCTATAAAGTCCCATCCTTCAGTTCTGGGATATTTTCTTGTACTATTCTTTAATAGTTTCCTCTCCTACATATTTTCTGTTCTTTTTTTTTCTTAGAAATGTTATTAGTTGAATGTTTAATATCCAGGTTTGATAATTTTATTATCCTTATTTCCATACATTTACTTTGTGGTTTTTTGTTCTACTTTTGGGGAGATTCTGTTAACTTTATCTTCCAAAACTTCTATTGATAATTTTCAATTCTGCCACACTAATTTAAAGCTTAAGAATCTTATTCACTGACTTACCTTTCCATGGCAATTCACTGATATATTTTTCATTGTTCTAAAGATAATCATTACTGTTGTTATATTGTTTTTTATATTGTCTTGTAAGCCCCTCCCCCCACCTTGGCACATTTGTTTGTTTCAGTCTCTGTCTTTCCTCATATGCAGGTGATCATGGCACTCTCTACCCATTCAAACATCAGGCACTAAAAAGACTGGATCCCTCTGGATTGTTCAGAGCATATTAACTGATGGTTTCACTGTAATGTGGGACAAAATAATGTGGAGCAGTTTCAACCATTTCACTGGATGATCCTTTGAAAGTCTTTTCTCTTGTACTTGTTCATTTCTTATAGGTGGATTCTCCAATCTCATGCCTGGGAGATACAAGCCTGACTTGTAGCATTCTAGGAATAAGGAAAGAAAGCAGCTATTTGGTAAGCAGATTTGCTCTCTTGTTTTTTCCTATGGCCACAATTTCTGCCTCCTTTACCAGCTAATCCTCTTCAACTAAGCCATCAAATGCCGGAGTTTCTTACACCTCTATTACTGGCTTTCTTTGCATTTTATTTATGCTCTCTACCTAAACAGCTTCATCTCTATTACATACTTCAAATAACATCTTTAAGAAATTTATATTTCAGTCCAGACAGCTAACCTAGCTCTTGACTTATATCCAACAACCTATGTGCATCCTGCACTTTGGCTTCTCAGAGATACCACAAATTTAACATAGAAACTAAACTCACAACCATCCCTTTCAAGCCTATAATGTCTGGTGATTCTTACTTCTCTGCATCGCATCTGAATTCATAAAATTGTACAAGCCTGGGTTTCATTCTTACCTGCTTCTCCGCCACCCCTCAGTGATCCTTCCAGTCCTACTGATCTCTCTCGAAACCATCCACTTCCTCACATCTACACCACCACCACCTTGGTCCAAGCTCCCATTCTCTATTGCTAAGTCTCACAAGATAGCCTGCTGCTTGATGATTTCCAGTGCTGCCTTCTTTTGACATTTCTCCATAGGACAGTAAGGGTCACTTTTACAAACACAAATGCAACCATATCTTTATACTCTCTTGTAAAAATTACTGGTCTGAGGGCCAAAATCCTGAGCAAGGCCCAGCTGAGCTGTAAGGTCTGGCCCCACCTTTTTCTGCATGCTCATTTCTTAATACGTTTCTGTCATTCTAAGAGCTTGAGCAGCACGGGCCTTTCTTTTTTCCTTTTCATGAATGTTCTCTGTTCCCTTCCATCCCAAGGCTTTTGCACATGCTAGCCCTTCTACCTGGCATGATCTTTTCTTCCTTTTTGCCTGCTTTTATCTCAGATCCCAGCTCAACATCCAACCTCAGGGAACCCTTGTCCTACACCTCACTGGCTCAGAAGCTTGGCAAACTTTCTCTAACAGTTCTGGTTACACAGGCATTTGGTTTGTAAAAATCTATTAAGCAGTTACACTTATAACACATATAGATTTCTGTATACATGCTAGATTTCAATAAAAAAATTTTTAATTCCTCTAAGCATCACATAATTCACCTTCATATAACACCTCAAAGTCATAACTGTATATGTTTTTGTGTGATTCATATGTTTCTCCCCAACAGCCTACAAGCTTCCAAAGGACAGGGACTTTGTTTAGCATTGTTTAGCACACTGCCTGGCATACAGGAGTCACTCAAATAAACATTTCTGAGTGTAAAGGTGGAAGCTGAGGGGTGAAATATTGTACCACCAGAAAGTATGCTGGCTTGCTTTTTCTAGAACAGGAATGTTTAAATAAGCAGATGCTAGGGTCCCCATAAACCTCCAAAATTATATGAAAATGTTTATGTGTATTTAAATATGTACTTTTCTTCCCCTAGGGAATGAAACCAACATTTCATCAGATTCTCAGAGGTTCTGTCACCCAAAAAGGTTAAGGACCACAGTTCTAGGCTCAACCAGAATTTATAACTTGCATCCATCTCATGACAAACAACTGACAAAATAGAAAATTTCAATACCTATTGCAAAATATGTTATTCTGGCATCCAAATCAAAACAGAATTTCCTACTATTAAATTTAAGTCCTTGAGGGCTAGCCCAGTGGCGCACTGCTACAGTGCACCGCTTGGGAAGCGTGGCAGCACTTCCGCCGAGGGTTCGGATCCCACATACAGACCAGTTCCCGCTCACTGGCTGAGCGAGGTGCGGGA